TTTCGATGATCGATAAGGTTTGAAGGTTTTATTTATTTAATAAATAAGTATTCAATGTTTTACATACTTACATGGTGCACTTCGATTGCTTTTGTTCACGCAATTTCATTGACTTTCGTGAAAGGAAGTTTGGAATGATGTAGTTACGTATAATGAATGTTTAGTAATTATTTAGTTTTCTATGTTTATTGATTTTTAAGTATAAGGAACAGGATTGTTCTTTCATTGCGTGAAAAAACAAATCAAAAATCAAGGGTAACATTTTTTCATTTCAAACTTTATTTTCGAGATAATTGAATTTGAGAATTTCTCGAACACTATTAATATTTAAAATAAACTTTCGTAATAATTATGCCCAACGCTACAAATTGACAAAAATAATCTAAAGAATGCGTCGAAAAGGTGTAACTTGTCAGATTTTCTTTAATTTGAGTCAATGGAATTGCGTGGACGAAAATAATAAAGGTACATATCGTTACATACGCGCTTAAGATACTATACATTCGTTCACTTGACACTCGATACTTAGACTTATCGACGTTCTTTCGAGTTTCAAGATGATCAAGACAAGATTCCCAAAACGATCGAGAGTTTCTTACCATCGAATTATACAGGGTGTTCGGCTACCTCTGGAAAAATTTTACTGGGAAATTCTGGAGGCCAAAATAAGTCGAAAATCAAGAATATCAATTTGTTGATTGAGGCTTCGTTAAAAAGTTATTAAAAAATTAAATTGAAAAATTTCAATTCATTCTGGGAAAATTATTTTCTATTGCGGGGGTCAATTACAAATATTTTTTGTCATTAGACATACCTTCGAATTCCCACGTGCTTTTGAGAAAAAAATTCCTTACCGAAAATTCAATGTCTGACCATATGGTATGACTATTCCCCTGAAATTTCATGAGTATCTTTAAAACATCATAACTCCTGAACGGATTGGACGATTTTAATGTTTCAAAATGCAAACGGCGCGTATTTTAATCAAGAATATGTAGAAATTCCAAAAATATTCGAAAAGTTGATGCTTGACCCCGCAAAATTAGAAAAACCCCCAAAATATTGTCCAATTTTCAAACAGTTATAACTCCTACAATAGTGAATATATTTCAATGAAACTTTTCTCTGAAGTAGAGCTCATGGGTACCTACAAAAAAGTATTAGACAAATTGTCTGTAGGACATCAAATAAAATTACTAAAAATCAAAAACTAATTTTTTAGGAAAATCGACAGGGATTTTTTCGACAAAATTAAAAAATTTCAAATCGTTTTAGAAAAATTATTTTCGTTTGCAGGGGTCAATTAGAATCATTTTAGGTGCATAGACATACGCTCGAAATCCTATGCACTTTCGAGAAAAAAAATTCTTTACCGAAAATATACTGTGTGGCTGAAAATGTTTCGATAACTTTTTAACGAAGCTTCAATCAACAAATTAGTATCCTTGATTTTCTTTTTATTTTGAGCTTTAGAATCTCCCAGGGGTGGCAGAACACCCTGTATACGAATTCGAGTCGGGCAAATTTTCTTCGCGACCAAACGAATAAAAATGTAATATTTATTCGTAAACAAGCTTGTTCTCGCGGCCTCGATCGCCCGAACGTCGATTAAAAAAATCCGACGATGAATCGTATCTTACGAATGAATTTTAAATCTATTTAAATTTTTATTTTCCAAGACTCGAAGCGACGCGAAGTGATTCGAAGCCCCGTCGCTGAAGTCGCGCAGAGGCGAAGATTTAAACATCGCGTGTCACCGCAGAACGTCCGTAAACGTTTTCGTTCGGATTATAAAAAACGGTATAAAATTCGTATTGTGTTAATCGAGCCTTACGAGAAAATTCAGAATCGATCGAATGGGGAAGAAACGTTTAATTGGTTGTAAGCATTTTAAGTAGATGTAGGTGTCGTCGACTAAAGTAATGTAATGGTACGTAGAGCTACAATATTATCGATAGTCGTTTGCGAGTAAACGCGAGCTTAAAAATTATTAGAATTCGGCTTCTTAGGTCAAACGACCGTTCCGTCGTTAACTCGGATCGCTTATGCTTGAACCGAACGCGCGACGATCTCGACGCAAACAATGGAATGCTTAGCAGGGGGGGTCGTTTAGCAACTTTTCCGCGTCGAGATGCCGCAAGCGTGTGCGTCGACGATTCAGAAATGAAAAGTTCAATGACCCGTTAACGCTTTCGCGGCCCGTTAATCGTTTCCGCGTAGACGTACAAAACGATTCGATTACTTGTACGAGGCGAAAGAAACGCGACGCTCGAAGCTGCAGTAAGTGAAACGAGCTGGAATAACGTCCGTGGACGTACGATCTTTGCATATACTATGAAGGTATGCAACAATCTCGAATTAAATTCGAGTCGCGGCGCCTCGCGGCGCTGCAATTATATGGCACGTGTTACGTTAATGTAAATTTTTGCACACTTCGTCCTTCCATTTAACCCTTCTCAGTCTTCGAAACCGCGACGAAACATCCGAGAATCCCGTTTAAAGACGCTCCTCGGGACGCTTCGTCGTATTGACTCCACCGTTGCGCAACCATAACTCATCTATAACGTAGGGTGATCATATCTTTAGCGCTCTACGGACCTTCTCGCTTCGGATTTTACACAAAATTGAATTGTTTTCAAAAGTACAAAGTGTCTAGAGCAGTGCTCCTTCTGGCACATTTATCAATTATATTGTAGGATTTCGCAAAAAGAAATTATTGAAAATGAAGATTGAATTTGAATTAAATGTAGCTTCCTCACAAAGTCAAATTTAAATAATAACAAAAGGGGATTTACTAACGATAAAAATTCCAAACTTGGTTCAATCAAGATCTTAGTTAATTATTTAAAAAGAAATTCTCAAAGACGACCCATTTTTCGGGGCGCTGAAGCGAGAAGACCCTTGACAAGTATCCCCTTTTAGACCATAATTGATATATTCCTATATGGTACAATAAATATAGAATAAAGGTAAACAAGTATCTAAAAAATAGATCGTTTATAATTTTCTCAAAATTCTTGCGAAGTTTGTAAAAAAATTAAATAGAAACTTAATGTAAGTGTTAATACGAAATTAATGCGTAAGTAATACTACTGTAAAATTAAAGTAGAACTAATATTAATATATCGGAGAGTTATCGTTACTGTTAATCTTACTGTTGTAACGGGAAAATGGTTAATATAAAAAAAAATACTTTTAAACTTTATCATTGAGAAAAATGATACTTTGGTTACGACAGAGCTTCTATATATGAAATTCTAACAACGCTAAGAAATGACAAACGGACCTTCCGTTCCATCTTCTCATTTCCGGTTCACTTTGATCACGACAGCTTTCCAATTCGATGGAAGGATACGATCACCTTACCCAAGTAACATTCTAACTTAAACGATTTAGGCTAAATAAAGATTATTATGCAAATGGCGGGTAACTATTCCATTGAAGGAAAAAGAACCATGTCTTCCCTTAGGGCGATTAAAGCTTCGAAATGAGCAACGATCGTACATACAGAATGAGTCTAAGATAACCAACAGACGCGTATATATATATATATCACTCCAGAAATCGTCAAAATTTTTTTTTTTTTAAATCTCTATCCACGGTTACATAACATCGTTATAATAACACCGCATTTATCTAGACCCGTACTGTACACGGAAATTTCGCGTCGCTTATGTCCAACAATAAATAATTAAGCCGCTGAAAACACTTCATATTAATGTTCGACGCACGCTTAATATACATATATACTATATATATATCATCATCATCATTATAGAACTATCATCCTCTCTTCCTCTACGATTACACTCTGCAAACGTAATACCGAACGAAACAATTAAATTCGTCGTCTTGATTGTACAGCAAGATCTCGTTAATTGCACGTTGATTGCAACTAATGAATACGTGGCCAATTTTTAGCTAAGGTAGATCAGCTCATGTTGAATATAACTTCAAGGACGAGACTGAAAGAGCAATCTTTCCTAATAATTATTATTACCATAAAATTGCGAATAAAATCCTATAAGAGTAGCTAGATATATTTTTTTATCAACGTTGTAATGAAAAGATAGAATGTATTATGGGAAACAATAGATTTTTACTTTGTTTAAAATGATTTAGACAAATTTTTGAGGGAAGAAACATGCGAAATCTTCTTTTGCACGATTTAATTTAATTTAATTTCGTTTTTAATTTATTTATACAACCGCATATTCGAAAATGTCCACAGAATGTAATGCAAAGTAAATGATAAATATATCCATTAAAGTGCAACTAAGGAATCCGACGAGCAACTAACGGGTCCTTGCTATACTTTGTACCATCGCAAACGACAACGCGTCCAATACACGAACTAAATCGAAGTGTGCAATGTAACCGCGTTTAGATTAATACCGATCGAGTTGACGAATCGCGGCAGAAAAGAAACATATTTAGTTCCTCGAGATCTCGTTTTGTTTTTCTATTTCGTTAACTTTTCTTCTTTTTTTTTTTTTCTTTACGGACGGCTGAAAAGGGCCCGCCAATTTGACGCTCTTCGATATTTAGGACCATTACTGCCGATCGCTGCGCCATCGGTCGTTTCACCCGCGAAACAGAAAGGTCATTACTACTCGATACTCGGACCGCGATCTGTCGACGAGGCTCGATAGATCGCGATCCATCTCACCTAACGATAACAAGTCTATCACGAATCGTTCGGAAAGTATATATAATATATTCGTACTATACTTCGCGCAAACATTTTCTTTCATCTTTTTTCCTTTTTTTTTTTTTTGTTAAATTACTTTCATCGTTCACCGTTTAATGAACTCTCTCCGTAACGTTCGTACGAGAAGTTTAACGATACATTTCTACGACGTTCCGCGTGAACGAGATACGAGGAACGTCGTTCCGTACTTTTTTTACTTTTATTTCATTATTATTATTATTATTATTATTTTTTTTTTATTCGATTTTTTTTCCTTTTATTAAAGAGTTTAACTTTTTATTAACGGGTGCGTCGAGAAACGTTTAAGAGCGAAATGTTGCGTCGATCTAGATCGAGCGTTCTTAGAATCATGTCGTTGGTGCGTTCGAGGTTGGTGGCGTGTCGGTGCGCCACAGTGAGCTGCCCGAGTGGCTGATCGTGGTGATCTGTAAACGAGAAACATATTTAAATGTACATTCTTCCCTAAAAAACCTTTAAACACTCTATTCGAGGATCGAACGAAAGAAATTCTAATTTTTAAACTGGCTTTTCCCGCAGCTTTGTTTATCAGAATATTGGTTATAAAATCCTTTACTATCGAGGATCGAACGAAAGGAAAATCCTCTACTATTTTTTAAACTAGTTTTACCCACAGTTTTGCTAATCAGATTGTTTCCGTTACTAGATTTTAATTTATAAAATTATAAATAAAACGTACGTACAATGAAATTTGTATTAGTTATTTGTGAATGAAATTTGCCAGATTCCAGGGCGTAGAAAACGTCGAGTAGGGGTTAATATCGGGGGAATAGGGTTGAAGTTAGTTGCCATCTAGCAGTGTTTACTAGAAAGTTCATGGCCCACTTTAAACTGTAAATTACTCACGCTACGAGTGCAACAACGATTGCACGCCGTATAAACACAACGTTCGTGTATTTGTTGTCACCTTATTGTCGTGTCCGATTAATGGAGTTTCTGCCGTGGTTTCGTCGCTGGTACGACTCATGTACGGATGCGGTGGTGGCACATAAATCGGCTTGGAATGACTGGCGACTTGCGCGTAAATCGTCGGTTCCTGGATTGGCTGCCTGCGTGTCAGAGTCGACATGGGTAGCAGTTGAGGACGTTGAATATTGGGTACCTGTACCGGCTGATAACAATTAGGCGGTATTCGTCGGTTGCTTCGGAGTGTCAGCTCGGCGTACGTTAGCTCAGATCCCTGTAACGCAGCAAGAACGTCTAAGTAGCTAGCAATTACACGGAACGTGGATGTTGTAAATCCATTCGCGAGGGTGGGATCTCGTAACTTTGAAATTCGAAACGGAAACCGGGGAAATTTTATTTCAAGAGTAAAAGGTGGACGTCTTTTTTTTATAGAAAATTGATGTTAATTGTGATACACAGACGCGTTGTAAAAATCGTCGGGGAACGGAAAATGTGCTCGAGGAAAAAGCGTATCTCTAACGAGTAGTAAAAAGAAAAGGAAGTTTAAAAGTTACGAGAGTCATCCTTCAAAGTTTTCGTTTTTTTTTTTTCTTCTTAAGCGTGTTTCTTTTTTCGTTTTTACCCGGCACGTATGGCACGCTCGTCGGAGAACGCCGGCGCAATTCAATTAATGCAATTCGTACTCACGTTATTGACATTGGTAAAAGTACTTGCGTCCGTTCGTGGCTGGTGTAAAACGTAGCGCGGTGAAGTACCCTTGCACAGTTCCGCGTAAGAATTTTCTGCGGAAAAACGGTTCAAGATGATTGTTAACCGTTTCACGGTTATTCGTAAGAATTTTCTCGTCGTTTGTTTACGTAACGTCAAAGCAATTGGTCCTTTAACCCTTTAGTTAGCAAGCTCTTTCTCTCAACAAGTCTCTAGTTTCTTTTTTTCACGAGTTAATATTGTTAGTTACATGGTGTATATTGTAAATTGTAAATGAAAGCAACAAGGCCTTGTAAGTAATAACTTAACAAAAAATTCTTTGCCTTTATTATTTATATTTTTGTCGAGTTCGCCTTTACAGAATATGCTGGGTGTTCGGCCACCTTGGGGAAAAATTTTAATGAGAGATTCTAGAGGCCAAAATAAGACGAAAATCAAGAATACCAATTTGTTGATTGCGGTCTCGTTATAAAAATGTTATTAACAAAATCATTGTTAAAATTTGTCCATCTAAGTGAATTTTTTTCTCGAAAGTGTGTAGGATTTCAGGGGTATGTCTATTCATCAAAAATGATCGAAACTGTCACCCACAACTAAAAATAATTTTTTTAGAATGATTTGAAATTTTTTAATTTCGCTGAAAAATTTTCCAGTCGGTATGGAACTAAACGTTAATAACTTTTTAATGAAGGGTCAATTAACAAATTGGTATTCTTGATTTTCGTCTTATTTTGGCCTCCAGAATTTCCCATTCAAATTTTTCCCAGATGTAAAAGAAAAATCTTTTGTTTCTTTAATGATCTGGCTGCTACATTTTTATAAATAAAACGTATAGTAGGAGTTAATTAAGTAATACACAAAGTGTAGAAATGTTTATATAGAAATAAATTTAATTGTCGACATGTAACACGCAAGGGAATAATAATCAATTTTGGGGGTTTTTCAGTTTCCATTTCGCGTTTGGTTGAACAAACGAAAGTCTGTTTAGAAACTTTTGCTCCTAAAATTCTTCTTCTTTGACTCTCTACTGTTGATTTTCCAAACCGAATTTATGGCTGCTTCGTTGCGATCTCGTTAGCAGACAAAGCTGCTGGCAAATTCTCGGAAATATCAGAGGAACGAAACCGAAGGAAACAGAATCTTTTAAAAGAGGGTATTCTGGTAGCACCTAACGAGCTAATTGCCGCCATTTCTTTTTATCCGGTTTCTTCTCCGCTCCACCAAGATATCAGCTACTGTAAAATACCTTTACATTAATTCTTTCGGTACGGCGGAGTCCGCCCGAGAAGTTCTATCACTGACGAACCTGTCCGAAGTTAATCAAGTCACTTTATTCTTCATTAAATGCACCGCGAGCGACGAAGGTTGTACTCAGTCTCATGCAAATAACGTTGAATAACTTCGTTTCGCGCGATTCTCGAAAGCTTTTCGGCATAATCGGAATATTTAACGATCCGTGGCAATAATTATCGTGTGAATACGTTTCGAAGTAATTTGGTCCACGGTAACGAGCACTAATATTTTACATAATTGCGCGTAAATAGGCGAGATACGTTAAGTAACCATTTTATAGGGGCACACGGTATAATTTGCCTCTTTTTCGTGATTAGGGCGCAACAAACGCAAGGTACGAAAGTATTGCACGATAATTACAGAGCAATCTTCGCTTTCGAGCGATAGACAGCAAAATAAACATTCAAAGTTATGGTGGACAGATGTATTAAGTGTAACTTAACTCTTCACACAGATATAACATGTATTACAGCTTGATTCAAGTTTCATTTACGATAACATTGAATTTAGGAAATATATAAACGGATATATTAAATTTAATTTAATTTAACTTGACTTGATTTAAATTAAATATGGAATAAAATTGTTCACTTTTGGTGCCTATTAACTTTAATGATATTTACATGAAAGTCATTATTTTTTAGAATCTTTAAGCTTATATAGTAAATTTTCTTGCATTGCAACTCAGAAGTCCGAAACATTAAAGGCATTTAGGTATCGAAAGGCTTCCCTGGAGTATTTAGTTACCGGTTATAACAGTGGAGGTCCTCGATTTAAATAGGTGTCAAAAAATTCGTTGACCATAACTGTCTATCGTGTAAAAAGTGAAATACAATTTGGGTTATAAAGGGTTAAAGGGTGAAGGTTTGGTCGTGGCGCGAGCCCGGGCAACGTACCAGATGCTCGTTAAATTACCTACCATTAGCGTGAGGAATTATATCGGGGTCCTTCTCGAAGCTCTCGATGCTGTCGGAGTTGAGAGGCAAGGTCGACGATTTATCACGTGGAGAGGAACTGCCGGTTCCGGACGCAGCCAGGTTCGCCATGCCGCCGTCGTCGTGAGAGTCCTTGTCCTCCTGGGGCCTTGGTCGATAGCGTAATCTCACCGCGAGGACTATCACGAAGATCACCAGTAGAAGACCCGCTGTTGCGCCGACCACTGCGCCGAGCAGTGGCCCGGACAACGACAGCATCACCGGCGTCAGAGCTAGAAATCGCAGTAAATGCTTTGAGTCCTCCTTCGACTCCCAAGGAGATTGGGATTTGATCGTTGAAAGGATGCTGATCTCGCGAGGATTTCCCTTTGGGAGGCTTCCATTGAAAGGGATTTCGTGGATCAGGGGTTCGCGAGGCTTGATTTCTTGTCTTTGCGTTATTTGGGTGAACACGTTTTATCGCTGAGCGATGCATTTTTTTTCTTTTCTACGGTTTCGCTTTCCGTGGGAATCGAAACATGTTCGGGATGTGTGGGACCCAGACTCGAGGCGACAACACAAACGAACACACATATCGACGGTATACACATTCTCTTTCATACATCTTTCAGTTTTCTACGTCATTTATTTACTGATATTCTTTCGTTTTAATTTTTGCAAGGCAAGCGTATTTTAGGGGGCTTCATTTTTATTTTTGTTTCGGTTACATCAATTTTACGTCAAGTTAGGATGTAATTGTGCGTTACAGAAAGAGTCACTGAATACCTTTGCAACGACATCACGAGTTTTTTCCTTTATAAAAATTACCTATTCACCAAAGTTTTAAAACAATTTTCAGAGATAAAGAAAAGATCGATGCACCCTATTCATTTTTGTTTTTGTTGCGGTTTCATCAATTCTACGTAAAGGGACATAATTGCACGTTATAGAAACAGTCACTGAATATTTCTGAATGTCCAAACACATCACAAGTTTTCGTTTATAAAAATTACCTATTCACCGGAGTTTTAAAACAATTTTCAGAGACAAAGAAAAGATCGAAGCACCCTATTTCGCTCGATCGCGATTTATTTGTTCGTGCAATTTCGATTGGCAACTTGATTTACGTTCACGGGCGCATTGTAGGTAATAATGGATTAATATCTCGATAATAAACGAGCTCCCCGGGCTGATTAATTATGGTCCAGCGAGTTTCGTATTTAGCCAACGAGAATTATGTAAATGAAATCATCGCTGGCTGATTGTCGTTTCCGGTCGCGACGGTGTTATGGACAGTCGCCTGGTCGGAATAAGGAAACCGCCATAACTGAGGGGGGAGAATGGCCGGGCGGGGATAAATTTTAACTTTATCCGTGTCGCGTGCATCGTTTAAATATTGCACGCTGGACGTTTAACGGTTCATTCGAGGATATATCGAGCAATCTCGACGGGGAACATACATTTTTCAATCCCGCGCGCGGCTCGATTCGGTTTATGCCTTTCGTGCCGCAACGTTCACGAAGCTTGCGTTAAAATTAAATGCGCTTTCGAACGCGAAAGGACTGCCTCGATATTTTTACCAGCCGTACGCTTTTTCGTTTTCTCTTCTCCGTCCATACTCAGTTTACTGTTTAATTGAAATTTAAAATGCGTTTCATCGTCTAAAAACGGTCGTTAATAGTGGTTGGCTATTCATTTGGAGCTTATACTTTATTAATTAGACAATTTCCCTGCGTTCTTTACGAAAATATACACACACTATAGTTGGATCAAACGTAATTCAAAGCTACGAAGAACTTTCTATTAAACTAAATTGAAAATAGGTTTTATAATCAATTGTAAATAAAGATACAAATAATTACACATTATAGCTGGATCAAACGTAATTGGCTGTTCAAAGATACGAAGAAGTAGCTTTTTATTAAACTAAATTGAAAATAGGTTTTATAATCAATTGTAAATAAAGATACAAATAATTACACATTATAGTTGGATCAAACGTAATTCAAACCTATGAAGAAGTAGCTTCCCATTAAATTAAAATGACAATTTAATAGTCAATTATAAATAGAGATACAAATAATTTCTATTAAATTGAAATGAAAACAGACTTTCCAATGTGTTACGAATAGATACACAATTGAGTTATAAAATAATTTCAATCGAATTAAAATGAAAATAAATGTCGTAATCAATTAGAAATAGTTTCATTACGTAATTTGGAAATCTGGCGTGAATTACACTCAAGAAATCCTTGAATTGTCAAGTGTGTTTGATCCGATTATAGTATCGACGCGCTGCATATCATTGACTATCGAACGTGTCTGAACGCTCCCTGCTGATTTGCAATTGCATTCTATGCATTGCTTATGCATTCCTCCCATTCTTGAGGAGTTTGCACACGACACGGTTGCTCGAAATCGTCTAGCATAATTCAGATTATAATCCAAGGTGATTGTACCTCGAAAAGAAAAGTATCGTAGGTTCTTACGCGATCGTTTTTCTTCTTTTCACGAATCTTTAGACGTAACTTTCGAATCCTACGGAATTTATTAAGTCGTCCAACCAGTTGCAAAAGTCGATTTTTATTTAATTACATTCTCTCAAAGATTCGAACCTTAAAATCTATCGTGGCGGGGTTGAAACTAAAATCAATATGGCGCCCATCGTGACTGTCGTTGAAGTGGTCGTCGTTAGCGGTGAAAAGAAAAGCTGTGCTTCATCTAGGCATGTTTCATACTACGCTCGAGTTATCGTACCAAGACTCCATCATTCGCATGCAATGACAAGGCCTACAGAGGAACAGGTGAAACATAAATCTACGGTCAGAAGCGAAAGCACGCTGTTGCAAGCAAAAACGTGTCCAGTGACGCGTTCGATTCCTTTCGACGCTTGTAATTTAACTCGTTTATTTGTTTATCGCATTCGTCAAGTGCATAGAGAGATTCGGGATTCGTCTCTCCACTCTATTGGAATTATTTGTCGTACGAAAAATTCGAAACCTTTTTTCGTTGTAAACACAACTCTTCCCTATCCCTTTCAAACGAATATCATTCACTATCATTGCATCTTAAATTTCAAGAGGAACAAAAATAAAATAGTCCTGTTTGTTACAAATAAACAGATAAAAATTTTGAAAATCTTTCACTAGGTTCAGACATCCTACTTTTGCTTGTATAGATATGTTATAATCGAAGCGTAAGCACACGCGTGAAAATTGTTTCTTGGAACGGCCCTGGATGCACAGACAATTATACATAATAAAACAATGTTTAATTTAATTTATTATTAACTGTACAAATAAGGATAATTGGACGTTTCGATCAACTGCTTTATTCCGTATAATTGTTCGTTATTAGTACAGGTTAATCAGTTTATTTTAATAATATTGTATACCATCAAACAGTGAGGATTCATTAATTGATATTCCAGTGATTCTTCTGGAAAAAATAGATTAGTAATCGTTCGACCCAACACGCTTTCATCATTAATTTTTATCACTATAATTTGACACAAGTCTGGGGTCAGCAGACCACCTAGAAATAATTTAATTATTTCTATCGTTTGAGTTTGCAATTGTAGCACCAGACGATACATATAATTTTATCGAAAACAGGGTGTCGAAATGTTCAGGAAACGCTCTTAATCAGAAAGAAAGAACTTTTCATCGAACAACAAACAGTTTACGGAAACAATGGGGCGGAGAGATGAAAACGGGCCACTCGGTGTACCGCGAGGCCAAATGAGTGAATGAACGCGTCAAATAAATAATGACGTTCTAAAAGCGTGCGGAGATTTCTCTACGTGGTCGGCCGTCCGCGTATAGTTGGGAGTTTCGAGGGGCGCTCGTAAAAAGTAGCTCGTAAAATTGTTACGCTCCCGGCGATACGATCGTAAAGGCACTTCCGTTGCAATCCTTTCTTTCACCGACGGCAATTTCTATATTTTCGAAATATTCGAACGATAAGTCGACCGATGAAATATAATTGGCGAACGGTTCGGTACCGTATAGACGTTATCGACGTCGAGTAATAAAGCATTATTTCGTATCGAACCATTTTTATACCAGATCAATCACGCACAGCACGTATTTGACATTCGTTTCTAGTACCGATACTTTTATAACGAGCCACAGTTTTTTGCCGTTTGATTCGTAATAACGATACATAATAGCCCATCGAGACCTTCGATGGATACGGAAATAGTATTCGAGGAACTGCACATTGCGCTCAGAAAATTTTAAATCCAATTATCCTGAGGTGTATCTGTAACTGGATGAATCCAACCTGGTTTTTTTTTTATATTTTTTCATAAAAATAGACGTACTCGATATTATACATGGCGTGGAGGGAATTCCCGAAGTTAGTAATTGAAATTTGTATAAAAATTTTTTTTTTGAAATTTTATATATTGATTTCCTGATTTTCTATTATTTTTGAAAATGATATTATCAAAATTGTTCGTATATAAAGTTACGTAAAAACCTAGTTCGAAGGTATAGTTGCCAAACGCTGATGGACAACAAAAATTAAATTTATTTCAAATTGTTATTCGCGAAATCCAGCTAATTTCCAGGATAAAATAAAACTGTTACGTATCTTTTAAAAGAGTGATAGCAACTATGCAAATAAATTATTATTATTCAATTTTGCTCTTCGTCTACCATCAGGGAAACTTTCTCTACCAGAGTAAAATATTTCTGTCTTAGAATTCAAATTTTAATTTTTATTCCAAGAGTAGTGAAATAAAAGGAGTAGAAGCAACTATGCAAATAAATTATCATTTTCCATAAAAGTATTACTATTCAATTTTGCTCTTATTTTTTTACACTTATTTAGACAAAATCTTAGGTGTCTACTCAGGTGTCAGAGTGAAATATTTCCTGTGATTCAGATTTCAATTTTTATTTCAAGAGTAATGAAATATTTTTAACAGAAAAAAATCATGTAAGATTTCAATGGCGATGAAGCTTCCGGATAAATGTTAATTTTGATTAGCCAAAGTTGCCGTTTGACCCAATGTGTCTGTCCCGCGGATTAACCGAACTGATTAATTTCGAATTAATCGATTATATCAGCACACTGGTGTAACGCTGCCGTCTGGTCGTGTTTATGTCTGCAATACCGCTTGGCACGGTCGATCGAATCGATCCATGTAAGCGGTCCACCGACCGCCAATTAGCCGATTCAGTTTACGAGGCTTGTTTCAAAAGTTTTCGTAACGGCGGGAAGGGAAGCACGTCGTTTCGATGTACGTACACGGCAACAAAGTATAACAGGTAGACTTATCAGCA